AGAACCTACACGACTCCGAAACCCACCACCAATCTGGACCTGGCTGTATCGGACCGAATAGACTGGACGAAGAGGCCGAATACGACTCTGACGTCACCTGACCAGCATAATCATGCCGTCCTCGGCAATAAGGTCACAACAACCAGCATCGATACCACCTCGAATTCACCTCACCCCAACAACAACCCGTTGCTCAATCCTGTCACCGCGACTCCCAACGCCGCGGACACCTCGTCGTCGTCCAGCCTACGACACGGGCCGCTGCCAAACGGTCAGGCGGCCTCAGACGTCAAGGGTCCTTGGCATGAGTCCCGTCAATCGGGCTCGTCTGAGACCATCCTTCCTCCGCGGCAGTTCACCAATTCTGCCAGACTTTCCCTCAAGACAGCGGCTGATGGAAGTCCGGACCTTCAGAACCCCGTCGAGCCGAACAAAGTCGTCACTAAAACTGTACCGCCCTCCTCATCTTCCTCATCATCAGCATCATCAGCATCAGCATCATCATCATCATCTTCCTCCCCAGGCCTCTCTCCCTTTCTTCTCATGCAACACTTTGTCTACTTGGCGGCCGCCGGTCTCCTCTTCAGCAACGTCTTCAAGCTCCTGTTCGGCCTCCTCGTCTCCAACAAGCCCATCAGCTCGGCCATCCTCGTACAGCCGCCACCGTCGCCACCGCCTCCAATTGTCGTCGAGGCGGCAACGACCACCACCAGCAGCTTCACTTGGCAACTATGCTCATATTTCGGCTACTTCTTCCTCTGGCTGATCGGATTTCGCTAAACACATGCCACGTATGCCTGCGTGTGTATGTGTATGTTTATGTGTGTCTATATGTGTTCTGGGGCGTGTGTGACTGTCGCGCAGCGATGATCTTCTACGTAGACATTTTATACATCTTTTAGATGCTTTTTTATGCTTATCAGCCTTCGGAGAGGCATGTAAAAATGTTTTTCTTCTGCCTGGCATTCTGCACGGTTGTATCCAACAGATCATTTTGAGGGAACTGTATAACGCGGATCTAAACTTTGAAGTCGTTTCGCTGCACAATTTCCTGAAAAATCGCGACTTCATCTGCAACAGTGGACGCACAAACGCAAAGCGACCTGAAGCTTTTTGGATCCTTTCCGACGCTTCAGCGAGCCTTCAAGAAGGAGGCGCCAAGTGTTCCAGTTGATGAATACTCTTCTACACCATCTAAAGACTAGACCAATGCGGGCTTGTACATTAAAGAGCAATTACACATGCACAAAAAGACACCCGAAATTGCCTGTATCCGCGACTGGGAAAACGTGTGACAAGAGGCTGATGAAGCGTTGAAAAATGTATTTTTAAAGGCTCTTTTGACGATGAACAGTGAACCGATTTTAGTCATTTTCTTTGATCCCTCTCTTTTGCGCAATCCTGCGGCCGATCATGTCCTTTTGATACAAATCTGCCCCCAAAGTCCCTCCGATTGTAAGTGCCACCTTGACCCATCTGCAGGTATCAGCCCCATGAGGCAATTTCCACCACTTTTGTCCACTTTTCATCTAAAAGGTGCATTCAACGCTCTGCCAATTCGTGAACCCCAATGACCACTTCCGATTTCGGCACAAAGATTCGTCCTCTTTCTGTCCTGTGCCCGTGGCAAGTTTTGGCCAGCCTCATTATTTTTGCTAATTCAACTCTAGAATTTAGCCTCAAACACCCTCAATGGTACCCGTTACAAAGCTTATTTTGCACCAATAGTTATAGTCTTTCTCGTGATTGAGTCTGTGGAAAGTGTGTACAACAAAAAACTTTGATACTTTTCCATTTTTTCCTGAGAATTCGGTAATTTGCTCGACTCCCAGTTCCAAGCATCTTTCTCCATTTTTTTTCAAGCTATCTACAACTCTTATATCTTCATAAAGGCTGATTCCAAAGACGAATTTCCCATTGACGCAACATTTGCATACACCTTCGATTGTGCAGAATCATCACTCAAGACATTTTGTCTTTATGCAGAAAACTATTCTTTGTTTAGCAATTGCGTCCGATAGTTAAGAGCTGTGCATGAATTTAATTGTACACAAAACGTATCCTTAGTCTGTACATTTTACCATTGTTTAGAAAGTTTCGAATATGTCCTCTTAGAATTTGATTTTAATACATTTTAAGAGTCTATTAGGTCTTTGAGTAGGCAGGTTGCCCATCTCCAAAGACACACAGACACTTGATTTATCCTCTAATACCAGGAGCTGTTTAGGGTTATTGCCCGGGTTGGTACAGCCTGCTCTTGGCGGCTCTTTTGACGCTTACATACACTTCGGCCAAGTCGAGCTGCAGGCCTTAGATACCAGTTAAGGAAAGGATGCGAAAAAAGCCTAAACTACTAACATGCCCTTAACCACCTCCTAGTCACCTGTCTTGCCGCTGTACTTGGGCATCATCAATCTGGTACCAAAAGCTGAGATTTCAACCGGAATAGGCTTCGTTACAACTAGACGGTCTTGATGAAGGCTCTTATGATGCATAAACTGGAATGAATAAATGTGGTTTAGCCTCATTTTCACATATTGTCCCTGTTAGCCAACGATATGGGCAGAAGGCACCATGTGCAAATTTGTCCTTCATTATAATTATGATCATTCTCAACATTGACATCATCAGTGAGCCTTACAATTCATAGTAACAGGCTACAACTCGTCAATAAGACACTGAGGATGCCTACCAAACGTTTGAGAATCTATAAATTCCACAGTCTGACGCTGGGCATTATCATAACTTCGCATAAAGTGCGCTCATCCCTAGTCATGCTGGGAATAGTAGCAAAACAGATGCATACAGGTAGAGGAGATCGCGTCCACAATCGAGATAACTGCATCTACTTTCTTTATATTTACACCTGAAACAACAGGGTACGCTGCTTGAGGTTATTATGGCAAACGTCAGTCCTTCATCATCTTAAACGAAATTTAGTGAATACATCTCATACTACTGATTTACTGATAGTCACGAAAGCAATACATAATTCGAAAAATAAAGTATAGTAGTCGATTGTTATAGCAGATATACGTTTGCTTCATCGAAAATCCCACCAAAAGAATATGATATGGCAACAAGGCATAGCCTTCCTTGAAAATTCACATTTGCTCGTGGTTAGAGTGTCAAACTACCGTCCTGCACTGTCGCGGTTCAACTCCCACTGAGGGTGTTGATAAGACCAGTTGATGCAAGGTCGAAACTGAAGTCCACTCTGGCCGGGATGAGAACAACTTTTTGGAAATAAAGGCTATATGAAATTAAATGGAAACGTCAGCTAAACTCATATCATTGTGGGAAAATGCTTATTCTACCAGTCCTTCATCATCTGAAACAAAATTTAGTCAATCATCTCATACTACTGATTTACTGGTAGTCACGAAAACAATACATTATTCGAAAAATAAAGTATAGTAGTCGATTGTTATAGCAGATATACGTTCGCTTCATCGACAATCCCACCAAAAGAATGTGATATGGCAAAAATGCCTAGCCTCCCTTGAAAATTCACATTTGCTCGTAGTTATAGTGTCAAACTCCCATCTTGAACTGTCGCGGTTCGACTCCCGCTGAGAGTGTTAATAAGACCAGTTGATGCGAGGTCGAAACTGAAGTGTACTCCGGCCGGGATGAGAACCACTTTTGGGAAAGAAAGGCTATGTGAAATTCAATGGAAAGTCAGCTCAAATCATATCATTGTGGGAAAATTCTTCTTCTACCAGTCCTTCATCATCTTAAACGAAATTTAGTGAATACATCTCATACTACTGATTTACTGATAGTGACGAAAACAATACATAATTCGAAAAATAAAGTATAGTAGTCGATCTTTATAGCAGATATACGTTTGCTTCATCGAAAATCCCACCAATAGAATGTGATATGGCAAATAAGCCTGGCCTTTCTCGAAAATTCACATTTGCTCGTGGTTAGCGTATCAAACTCCCATCCGGCACTGTCGCGGTTCGACTCCCGCTGAGGGTATTGATAAGACCAGTTGATGCGAGGTC